ACAGAACTCATGAACTGTCAAGGAAATGGTTCACGCGGTTGTGGAGGCTGGCAAGTCCCAAATCCATGGGTCAGGCATTAGGCTGGAGGCTTCTCTTGATTCACATGGTTGCAGGGGCTGATGAACCCTAGATCAGCAGGTCAGATGGTAGGCTACTGGCTCACGGGGCTTCAGGAGCTGAGGAATCCCAAAATCTGCAGTTCAGGCAGCAGGCTGCTGGATCCCATTCCAAGAACTGGAGGTAAGATTATGATGAGTCAAACAGGAGAGAGAAAGGGAAAGAGATCTCTTTGCCAGAATCCATATATATTGGATGCAGGCCACATTCCCAAGGAAACTCCCCTTACATCACATCATAAAATGGAGGATAATTACATAATACTAGAGCCATGGCCTAGCCAAGTTGACACATAACTTTAACTATCATAGTTATCTTCACTTGTCAAATGAGTCTTGTGATTAAGGTAAAAAGATGATTTCGACAAGGCTGTTATCAAAAGCCTTGGAAGTCTACATACCATAACTTGTTTTATTTGCTGAAAATATTAAAATCAAAAGGAAAGAATATAAGGTATGAACTGTACACCTACAAATATCTTAAAGAAAATGCAATATAATTTTTTTCTTAGTGTGGGTTTTCCCCAAGAAGACCCTGTGGTAAGGATTCAAGTGGAATTCAAGTAGGTCCCCAAGTTACCAATTTCTGACTTATGGACAACTTGTATTTGCCCTTTGATGTTATGTAAATTTGCCCTCACTTTCAAACGATTGAACCAACCCCCACTCTTAAGAAATTCTTCAAACCAATCACTTTCATTTATAACACTTGAAAAGCCTTTGAGCCTTTTCTTGCACTAAAACCAATCCAAACCAAACCCACTGCCATGGAGTCGATTCCAACACATAGCGACCCTGTAGGACAGAGTAGAACTGCCCCATAGGGTTTCCAAGGCTGTACATTTTTACAGAAGCAGACTACTCATCTTTCTCCTGGGGAGTGGTTGGTGGGTTCGAACTGCTGAAATTTTGGTTAGCAGGCAAATGCTTTAACCACTCTGCCACCAGGGCTCCTTCTTGTACTGCAAGTAAGGCTAAATAAGAACCATATGCACCTGTTCCAAATTACTGACAAATTCAGCTTAAGGACACACTTAGGAACTGATCTCATTCATAACTCGGGACTGCTTGTATTCTGGAAGTGCAGAGAACACTGGTAGGGGAGTTGGGAAGTGAATTAAGGGAGGGGAGGATGACAACAGCACGTGTGTATCAAGTTATCTTTGTTGGCATCTGGAGCTTCAGGCTGCCAGGCGTCTCCTGGGACCAGTATGGAGCACATGGCCCAAAACTATCTTACCAGAAGGGGGAGGGGGCTAGGCTGTTTATACACCATCTCCACTCAGCCCTTGCCTGAAGGCTTCCACTAGAGTACTGCTTCCTAGCACTTTTGCCTGCTGTGCTGAGAGCAGAGTGGGTACTTGCAGCCAAAGACAGCTTCAGGTAAAAGGCTGTAGATGCCTGCCATTGAAAGTTCTGTTGGAAATGGTAAGGCCAGACAGGATAAGGGCAGGGCATCACAATGGCTGCTACTTGATGTCTGGAAATTGAATAGAATCGAAAATTATGACTCGTTACCCCCACATTTCTCCCTACACATTTAGATAGGAATCACTTCCTTCCCCAAAGAAAGCATTAATCAAAAAAATCTTAATAAAACATGATTAGCCTATAATGGTAGAGGCCATCCTGCCTTCTTACCCACTAAGTTATAAAGGGTCACAATAGCATATTGCATTAACATTTGTCTGTCACTTTCTAGCTTTAGTTCAGCATTTTGATGCTGTTTTTCCTTTTGTTTATTCAGAGCCGACTTCTATTCTGTAGGCTTAAAGGAGCTGATCAGTATCAGTACAAGAAAATTCTGGGGAAGCTCAAACACTCCTCCAACCCACGATTATTACCCAAAGGAGGCTGTGGTCAAGGAAACTGTCAGATAGTACGAGGGACATGGACCTAAACCCACTGCCATCAAGTTGATTCCCACTCATAGTGACCCTAGAGAACAGAGCAGAACTACCCTATAGGCTTTCCGAGGCTGTACATCTTTACAGAAGCAGACTGCCTCATCTTTCTCTCATGGAGGGCTGCTGAGTTTGAAACACCGACCTTTCAGTTAGCAGCCCAATGCTTCAACTATAGTGCCACCAGAGCTCTCTGAAGGACAGAGAAAACCAAACCAAGCTCAC